GCAATCTACTTCTGTAGTGATACTGCCTCGGAAACCCAAGGAGGGGTCGCTATGAGTCAGGTCTGACTTGACGGCACATAACAACAACAACAACAACATCCATTGTCAAAAAAGTAGATCTTGAAGCATTACTCCTATGTTTTGTTCTAAATATTTTATGGTTTTAATTCTTACACTTAGGTCTTTGTCCATTTTGAATTAATTTTCATGTATGATATGAAGTATGGGTCCAACTTCATTTTTTTTTTTTTGCATATGGAGATCTAGTTGTCCCAGCACCATTTATTTCAAGTGATTCTTCTTTCCCCATTAAATAGATTAGTACCCTTATTAAAAATCAGTTGACCTAAGATGTTTGAGGTTGTTTCTGAAGTCTTAATTCTGTTCCATTAGTCTCTATTTCTATTACTATACCAGTAGTAGACTGCTTTAATTACTGATTATAGTATGTCTTGTTGTGATTGGTAAGTATGAATTCTTCTACTTTGCTCTTTTTCTTGACTGTTTTGACTATTTAGGGTCCCTTCTGATTTCATATATATTTGAGAATTGTTTTTTCCACTTCTGCAAAGACGGCTGTTGGAATTTTAATAGGGATTGCATTGAACCTATAGATTGCTTTGGATAGTATTGACATCTTAATGATACTAAATTTTCTAATCCATGAACACAGAATGTTTTTTTTCATTTATCTAACGATCTGGCGTCGTTGTTGTTGGTAGGTGCCGTTGAGTTGTCTCCGACTCATAGCAACCCTATGCACAGCAGAATGAAACACTTGCCTGCTCCTGTGCCAGGCTTACAAGACTTGCTGTATCTGAGCCCATCATTGCAGCCACTGTGTCAATCCATTTCATTGAGGGCCTTCCTCTTCTTTGTTGACCCTCCACTTTACCAAGCATGATACCCTTCTCTAGGGATTGGTTCCTTCTGACAACAGGACCAAAGTAGGTGACACGCAGTCTGGGCATTCTGGCTTCCAAGGAGCATTCTTCCTGCACTTTTTCTGGGACAGATTTGTTAGTCCTTTTAGCAGACCATGGTACTCTTAGCATTCATCTCCAGCACACAACTCAAACGCATCAACTCTTCTTCAGTCTTCCTTATTTATTGTCCAGCTCTCACATGCATAAGAGACGATTGAAAATACCATGGCTTGGGTTAGGTACACCTTAATCTTCAAGGAGACATCTTTGTTCTTCATTACTGGAAAGAGGTCTTTTGCAGAAGATTTGCTCAATGGACTGCTGTTTCCATTGGTGTTGATTGTAGAACCAAATAATATGAAGCCTTTGACAACTTCACTCATTTCTCCATTTATCATGAAGCAGTTTATTGGACCAGTTGTGAGGATTTTTGTTTTCTTTATGTTGAGGTGTAATTCATACTATAGGCTGTATTTTTAATCTTCATCAGTAAGTGCTTCAAGTCATCTTTACTTTCAACAAGCAAAATTGTGTCATCTGCACATTACAGTTTGTTAATGAGTCTTCCTCCAATCCTGATGCCACGTTCTTCTTCATATAGTCCAGCTTCTTTGATTATTTGCTCAGCATATAAATTGAATAAGTACGGTGAAAGGGTACAACCCTGATTTTAAACCATGTGGTATCCCTTTGTTCTGTTTAAACAACAGCTTCCTGGTCTATGTATGTTCCTCATGAGTACAATCAAGTGTTCTGGAATTCCCATTCTTCTCAGTGGTATCCATACTTTGTTATGATCCATACAATTGAATGCTTTTACATAGTCAATAAAACATAAGTAAACATCTTTCATCTTTCTGGTATTCTTTGCTTTCACCTAAGATCCAGGTAAGATATGAAGTGTAAGTTTATTTTACAGAGAGAATGTTGGTGATTTTGTTTTTACCTTTTAGGTTTTTAAAAACAGGAATCACTTTGTTTTAGTCCATTATTTCAGTTTCTGAAATGGTTATTTTCCATACATGGAGTATATTTTTGTTGTGCTACTGCCACCTTGTGGCTATGGTAGTGAATGTTGTACTTCAGTTTTATTTTTTTCTTTGTCCAGATTTAGTTTGATTTTATCGCCAAAAAACAAAAAAACCCACTGCCATCAAGTAGATTCCAACTCATAGTGACCTTATAGGACAGAGCAGAACTTCCTCATAGGGTTTCCAAGGCTATACATCTTTATGGAGGTAGACTGCCTCATCTATGGAGCTGCTGGTGGGTTTGAACCGCTGACCTTTTGGTTAGCAGCCGAATGCCTTAACCACTCTGCCACCAGAGGTCCTTGTTTATTGCCACAGGAGGTAGGTAATATCACACCAAAAGAAGCTATACTGATGTGTTTTAAGATCTGGAACACTAAAATACATAAAGATTTCACAGTGGTTGAGACTCTGAAGTTATTCTCCCCAGGTTCAAATCCTGGGACTGCAATTGTGTAACTTAACTACCGACAAGTTAGTTAATCCTCCAAGCCTCAGATTTCCTCAAAATCATAGTATCTACTTCTGTCATATCTAAAAATTGTTTCTGTTGTTGTTATGTGCTGTTGAGTCGGATCTGACTCATAGCGACCCCTCCTTGGGTTTCTGAGGCAGTATTGCTATGGAAGTAGATTGCCCAACCTTCCTTCTGAAGAGTGGCTGGAGGGTTTGAACCGCCAGCCTTCTGGTTAGCAGTCAAGTGCCTTAGGCACTATACTACCAGAGCTCCTATCTAAAAATTATATTGCTTCAAAAAGAGAGTTCCTACTCCTGAAAATATTGGCCTGAGGTAATCTTTATACCGTAAACCAAAAATATCCCTTGAAGTCTTCTTAAAATTTTTTTAATAAGTTTTAAAAACTAAAAAACCTTAAACATTTAAAAAAGATTTATTTTAATTTTTGTTGTCTTTCTGAATTTACACAGCAGAATATATACCAATCTAACAGTTTAATTCAGTGACATTGACTGTGTTCTTTGAGTTGTGCAGTCATTCTCACCATCCTTTAGTGAGTTGTTCCTCCTTCGTTAACATAAACTCACTCCCCCCTAAAGTTCCTGTCTAATCTTTTGAGTTGCTGTTGTCAACTTGATCCCAGTTAGGTCAATCCTAAAAGCACAATTCTCAAAGCAGACTTTTTTTTACTAAAGCTAAATGGTTCAGTTTTAAGAAGATTTCAGGGGATATTTTTGTTTATAGTTTAAAAATTTTCTCAAGATAATAGTTTTTGGAATTAATTCTAAAGCAATGTAAGGCACTAGGACACAGGCAGGCCCTCCATAGTTTTTAGTTATCACCCAAAGTCTAGTCCAGGGGTAAGCCTTTGAAGGTTTATGGAGAAAGACCAGTTTCTAAGGAGTAAAAAATGATTTGACATTAATTAACATTTTGAAACTTTGTAGTAGGAGGTGAGAAAACTCAAGGGTTCCCAGTGCACTCTGCTCTTCTTAGTGGAAGTGTCATCTTCTCTCACTTTCACATTATTTTATTCATAGTATGATGTTTCTTTTTCTGGCAGTTCATTCTGCCTCCCTTCCCTCTGTCTCAGATACTCTTCTTTGTAGTTCTTTAGCTATGACCAGTTTGCATGGGGTGGGCAAGAGGAAGGGAAATTGAGGTCAGTTCAGCCATATGCCTCAGCAGCACATCGGTCAGACACGAGCCTTGTTGAAGTGCTATGCAGTGAGCTGTCCGGTTTTCTGCACTCTGGGGGTGAATGGGCTAGTAAGGAAGAAAGGTAAGTAGGAAGCTCATTACCAGTGTGGTGTAACATCTGAAAGAACCTGTTAAAGTCTAAGAGCTATGAAGTATAAAGGAGGGAGAGCCACAGCTTCCATTCAGGACAGGGAGGGTGCTGCTAGACACTAGGTAGGGCCTCTCATCTCAGTGTCGAGTGGGATCTTCAGTGATAGACTGAAGGGTTATACCTCAGTTCATTTAGCCTCATTATAATGTCTCTTAAAAAAAAATCACACATTTCCTCTTTGACTTGTGTGACTCCCAGTTTCTTCCTTTCATTTTTGAAAAGGAGTCTGTGTCAGTGTCTCTCTGCTAGAAATCTCCCCACTCCATCCCTGGTCCAGCCTTGCGTTAGAAAATGGGACTGTCATTTGGTGGGGAAGGCTATCAATAGCAATTCAATAATTTAAATTGTTTTACTTTGAATTTAAAATATATTCTAACATTTCTTGAAGTGATAGTCCTTGACTATTTCACCATCTGTTCTGGTTACCTAGTGCCACTCTGACAAGAATATCTACCACAAATGGGATGGCTTTAACGAACAGGAGTTTATTCTTAAAATTTGGAGGTTTTAAGTCCAAGTGCCAGGCTCTAGGGGTTGGGTGAAAGCCCCTCAACCTTGGTGTCCAGCTCTGCCTCCTGCTCCCAGCCCACTGGAACTAGAGGTGTTTCTTCACTCAGACAGCTGCTGGCTGCTGAGGCTGACAGACCCAAGGTTGACAAGTAAAAAGGCACAGTCCTGATGTTACCAAACCACATAGCATTAATTTAAGTCCATTGTAAGTCCCAAGGTCGGCAGAGCATGGCAGGCTGCTGCTGAACGATGACATGGCTACATGCAGGGTCCAAGTGTGCTATAAGCTAGAGACCGTTACCAAACCTGCTACTTATATATGGGAAGCAAACCACATCCCTAAAGCAGCTACGCAGCTGCTTGTGGTAGATCCCACCATGGAGTTGATTGCCAGTCTCATCAGGGGAATAACTATCACCAGCTGCCCAGCCACTCAACCAGACTCAACCAAGTTGACAAACAAATGTAACCTTCACACCATCATCTTAAGAAGTGCTTCTTTTGCCTTATTGTTTTTTGTATGCTTTCATTCACATTCTTAAGTTGTCACTTGGATGTTAGAACTTTAAAAATTATTTTTTTCCTGATTGTAATTGTTTGCTTTCCCAGTTGCCAAAACACAGGGGATTTGGTCATGGAGGCTTTGCTGGAGGGAATGCAAAATCGGGGACATGGCGGGTAAGTTTACTTTTGACCCTAAGCTTTTCACTGCAGTTTTAAAAGCATGCTAAGTTGTGCCTCTGATTACCATGTGCTTTGGGTACAGAAGTGTTTTTAGCATAAGTGTTGAGTGCTAAGCTGTCCTATGTTCTGTGTGTGGACAACATCTCTCTTTGCAATGTTTGCCTCACCTTAGCGTGTGAAACTGCTTGCCTTCATCCCAACTCAAGTTTTCTAGTCTGAGAAAAAGAAATGTACAGAGATTTTTTTTTTTGGCAGTAAGTCCAAATGCTGGTGACGTTTATTTAAAAAGAAAAGTATTTAAACCTTGAAAGTTATAGTTCTCTGTGGCCATTGCTGAGAACTTCTTTGAATCAGGTACATCTATGATGCTTACCTCTGTTTCCAAGTTCCTCTATACTAGGTACCTACTGCATTATGTGGCATCTCCTGAAGCTTGGAAGGACATCAGTAAATTTCCAATAGTAAGATAGACAGTAGTAATTTTTTAATAATAAGATAGGGAGAAATAGTTGCAATAAATCTGGCCTAAGGATGAATTTCTTGAAATAGCTCTTAAAATTGTATTACCACTTTTCAGTGGGTAGCCTGATAGTTCCAAGGCTTTTGATTTTGTGTAGATGAGAATGTGAGGCATAGCCTTGCCTGGACTCTTCCTGAAAGCTTCTTGAAAATATTCCTAAAGAGTTACTTATTGGTTGTGGAAGTCTCACTCCACAAGCCAGACTTAAAACATCAATCTTGTGTTTGACTGAATGACTTAGTCTTTAAATTGACCCTTAGAGAAGATAAAATATTCTTTGGAATAAGTAGTCATCTTAATATGAGTATAAAAACCAAAACTTCGGAAATCCTGTTCTTTGTTTCTGATAATTTGTTTATTGGCATTGTTCAACTTCAGATAGTTTTACATCTTGATAATATTTTTATATGTAAAGAATAAAAAGTCACTTAGACATATTTGTTCTGTGTTCTTAATGGTCTGTGTTATTTATAGGGGATTTTTGACATCCTGTGAAGCAGAGCTACAGGAACTCATGAAACAGATTGACATAATGGTGGCACATAAAAAATCTGAATGGGAAGGCCAGACACATGCTCTAGAAACTTGCTTGAACATCCGTGAACAAGAGCTTAAGACTCTTAGAAGTCAGTTGGATATGAAACACAAAGAGGTAAAATGATTGATATTTTGACCTTCCTTTTCTATTAGGAGCTCTGGTAGCGTAGTGCCTAAAGCATTTGACTGCTAACCAAAAGGCTGGCAGTTCAAAACTACCAATCACTCCTCCGAAGAAAGGTTGGGCAATCTACTTCTGTAATGATACCTTCTTGGAAACCCAAGGAGGGGTCACTATGAGCTGGATATGACTCCATGGCAGTGGGTTTGTTGTATTTTTAGTCGTGTTTCTTAAAATTGTGTTCAAGAAAGCATTTGTATGTCAATTTAGTTTCTGTATTATATTTAGTTATAATTCTGATGGTTTCTTTTAGAAGAAAAAATTTATTGTGGAAATGCATAAGAATGTTGTTAGGGGCCTTCAACTTGGTTTCAATTCATAGTGACCTTTTGTACAACAGAGCATAACACTGCCAGGTCCTGCACTGTCCTCATAATTGTTTCTGTGTTTGAGCCACTATGTCAGTCCATCTCCTTGAGGGTCTTCCTCTATTTCACTGACCTTCTGCTTAGCATAATGTCTTTCTCCAGGGACTGGTCCCCTTGATAACATGTCCAAAGAACATGAAATGAACTTGCACCACCTTGCTTCTAAGGAGCATTCTGACTGTACTTGCCTTCTATATTTGTTTGCTTTTCTGGCAGTCCATGGTATATTTAGTGTTCTTTGCTAACACTGTAAATCAAAGGCATCAATTATTCTTTAGTCCTACTTGTTTGTTGTCCAGCTTTCACATAAATATGAGGTGGTTGAAAATACTATGGCTCGGTTCAGGTGGACCTTAGTCCTCAAAGTGATATCTTTGCTTTTTAAAACATTAACAAGGTCTTTTGCAGCAGATTTGCCCAATGCAGTAAGTCATTTGTTTTCTTAACTGCTGCTTGCATAGGCATTGATTGTAGATCCAAGTAAAGAGAAATCCTTGACAGTTTTGATCTTTTCTCCGTTTATGATGATGTTGCTTATTGGCCACTTGTGAGGGTTTTGTTTTCTTTACGTTGAATTGTAATCCATACTGAAGACTGTAGTCTTTGATCTTCATCAATATGTGCTTAAGTCTTCTTTACTTTCAGTAAGCAAGGTTGTGTCATCTGTATATCACAGGTTGTTAGTGAGTCTTCCTCCAATCCTAATGCCACATTCTTCTTCATATAGTCCAGCTTCTTAGAGTATTTGCTCAGAATACAAATAGAGTAAGTATGGTGTGAGAATACAACCTGATGCGCACCTTTCCTGATTTTAAACTGCACAGTATCCCTTTGTTTTGTTTGAAGAGCTGCCTCTTGTTCTATGTACAGGTTCTGCATTAACACAGTGAAATGTTATGGAATTCCCATTCTTTGCAATCTTGTACATAATTTGTTATGAGCCATACAGTTGAATGTCTTTGCATAATCAATAAAACACGAGTAAACATCTTTCTGGTATTCTCTGCTTTCAGCCAAGATCCATCTCATATCAGCAATGATATATCTCATTCCACATCCTCTTCTGAGTCTGGTTTGAATTTTTGGCAGATTGTTGATGCATTGCTGCAACCATTTTTGAAATATCTTCAAAATTTTACTTGTGTGTAATAATAATGATTCAATATTTACTGCATTCCATTGGGTCACTTTTTTTTTCAAAAGGGCATAAATATGAATCTCTTCTAGCCAGTTGGCCAGGTAGCTGTCTTCCAAATTTCTGGGTGTAGATGAGTGAGCACTTGTAGTATTGCATGCATTTGTTGAAATGTCTCAGTTGGTATTCCATCAGTTCCTAGAGCCTTGCTTTTCACCACTGCCTTCAGTCTACCTTGAATTTCTTCCTTCATCAGTATTATCAGTCTTGATCATATGCTACCTCTTGAAATGGTTGAATATCAACCAGTTCTTTTTAGTACAGTGACTCTGTATAACTTCCATCTTTTGATGCTTCTTGTATCGTTCAATCTTATGCCCATAGAATCCTTCAGTATTGCAACTCAACGCTTGATCCCCCCCCCCCAGATTTTTCAGTTTGAGAAATGCCAAACGTGTTCTTCTCTTTTAATTTTTAATTTTCTAACTCCACGTTTTTGCATCCACCACTCATCTGTCAGTTTACCGTGGTAGTTTGCATGTTGCTGTGAGGCTGGAGGCTATGCCACTGGTATTTCAAACACCAGTAGGCTCGTTCATGGTCATTCATGGTAGGCAGGTTTCATCGAAGCTTTCAGACGAAGACAGACTGGGAGGAAGGACAGGGCCATCCACTTCTGAAGAAATTGGTACCGAATAGCAGTGAAACACTGTCTGATACGTTCCTGGAAAACTTTATGAATAGCTAAGAAACATTGTCTGATATAGTGCTGATACAGGAAGATGAGCCCCTCAGGTTGGGAGACACTCAAAATACACCTGGGGAAGAGCTGCCTCCCCAAAGTAGAGTCAGCCTTAATGACTTGGATAGAGTAAAGCTAAAGCTGATGGGGCATGATGCAAAATGGGAAGAAACAGCTGCAGACATTAATAGTAAGGACATGGGATGAACGAAGTATGAATCTAGGAAAATTGGAAGGTTCAAAAATGAAATGGAACAGATAAAGTTCAATATCCTAGTCATTTGTGAATTGAAATGGAAAGGTATTGGCCATTTTGAATCAGGTATATGGTCTATTATGCAGAGAATGACAGACTGAAGAGGAATGGCATTGTGTTCATCAAAAAGTGCACCTCAAGATTTTTCTTGAAGTACAGAGTACAGTGTTTTCATTGATAAGATAATATCTACATGCCTACAACAAAGATTAGTTAATACTACTCTTACTCAAATTTACACACCGCTCACTAAAGCCAAAGATGAAGAAATTGAAGATGTTTACTAACTTCTGCAGTCTGAAATTGACCAAGCATGTAGTAAGATTTACTGATAATTATTGGTGATTGGAATGTGAAAGTTGGAAAGAAGAAGCATCAGTAGTTGGAAAATATGGCTTTGGTGATATAAATGACACCAGAGATTGCATGATAGAATTTTGCAAGACCAATGACTTATTCCTTGCAAGTACCTTTTTTCAACAGCATAAACAGTGGCTATACATGCGGACCTCACCAGATGGAATACTCAGAAGTAAATCGATTACATCTGTGGCAAGAGGCAATGGAGAAGCTCAATATCAATATCATTAGTCAGAACGTAGCCAGGAGCTGACTGTGGAACAGACCATCAGTACAAGTTCAAGTTGAAGCTAAAGAAAATTAAAATAAGTCCATGAGAGCCAGAATACAACCTTGATTATATCCCACCTGAATTTAGAGACCATCTGAAGAATAGATGTGACACATTGAACACCAGTGACCGAAGACCAGATGAGTTGTAGGATGACATCAAGATCATTGTACACGAAGAAAGCAAAAGGTCATTAAAAAGACAGGAAAAGAAGAAAAGAACAAAATGAATGTCAGAAGAGACTCTGAAACTTGCTCTTGAACAGAAAGTACGTAAAGCAACTGGAAGAAATGCTGAAATAAAGGAACTGAGCAGAAGATGTCAAAGGGCAGCTTGAGGAGACAGAGTAAAGTATTATAATGACGTGTATCTGGAATAGAAAACCAAAGAGAAGAACACGCTTGGAATTTCTCAAGCTGAAAGACCTGAAGAAAATTCAAGCCTCAAGTTGCAATATTGAAGTATTCTACAGACAAAATATTGAACGATGCAGGAAACATCAAAAGATAGAAGGAATACACAGAGTCACTGTACCAAAAAAGAATTGGTCAATGTCCAGCTATTTCAGGAGGTAGTATATGATTAAGAGCTAATGGTACTGAAGGAAGAAGTTGAGGCTGTACTGAAGAAACTGGCGAAAAACAAGGCTCCAGGAATTGATGGAATACCATTGAGATGTTTCAACAAACAGATGCAGTGCTAGAAGCACACACTTGTTTATGCCCAGAAATTTGGAAGACAGCTCCCTGGCCAGCTGACTAGAAGAGATTGTTATTTGTGCCTATTCCAATGAAAGGTGATCCAACAGAATATGGAAATTATCAAACAATATCATTAATGTCAAACGCAAGTAAAATCTTGCTGAAGATAATTCTGGAAATGGTTGCAGCAGTACATTTACAGAGAACTTGCAGAAATACAAGCTGGATTCAGAAGAGGATATGGAACAAGGGTTATCATTGCTGACGTGAGATGGACCTTACTTGAAAGCAAAGAATACCAGAAAGATGTCTAGCTGTGGGTTTCTATATATATATTTTATATATACTGTGATTTGGGTGAAGATTTACACAGCAAATTCACTTTCCATACAGCAGTTCACATACACTTTGTCTCATGACATTGGCCACAATTTACCTCAATGCAACAGTTCCCCTCCCACTTCCTCCCGATAATTACCTCTTCCTGTGTCCATCCCTCCATGCCCTCCTGCCCCTTGAGCTGTCTCCTGGTGCATAAGCAGCCTTTCTTTCTCTCATGATTGTTCTCTCCAAAGAGTGTATCTACCTCAGGTAAATGTTCAACTCATATGCCTGTCTTTTGTTTGGCTGGAAGCCACAGGTGTGGGTTCAATTCCAAACCTGATGGGCAGCTAGGGGCCATAGTCTCAGTGGTTCCACCAGGCTCTATCGGACCAGCAAACCTGGTCCCCCCCCCCTTTTTGTTTTCAACAAATGATTTTGAGTTTTGTTCCACATTGTTCTCCCTCTCTATCCAGGATCTCCTACATAGATCCCCTTCCAAGTGGTTGACTGTGGTAGCCGGGCACCATCTAGTTCTTCTGGTCTCATAGTCACATAGGCTGCAGATCTGATGGTGTACCAGTTGCTAGGACTAATTGTTTCCATGAATTTTGGTTTTCTTCATTCTTCTTTGCTCTGGACAAGGAGAGACTCATTGTTGCATCTAGATGGCAGCTTGCAAGCTTTTAAGATCCCAGTTGCTTCTCGCCAAAGTAGGAGGTGGAACAATGTTTTGTGTAGTATGTTATGCCAATTGAGCTTGATGTCCCTTGTGACTAT